ATCACCGGTTGCATTTCACTTTCCTTTCGTGCTTTCTCTCATCCAAGATTTCCTTCTATTCTGTTTCAATTTGTTGTCTTTCCGAAGTACTTAGGACTTGTTACGACACGCCATCTTCTTATTTCCCCTCTCTCTAACTCCCTATGCATTTTTCTTTTCACAAATTCCGTGCAGTCCCCAACGCCACGACGCTCGAGGCCCTGCACTCCTTGGTCCACTCCTTTATTTCTGTTCCTGTCCATAGTTCGCATATACCTCCCTCTTTATCTCTCTTGCGTCCCATCTCCACTTTCATTTCTACCCCATCGCATTGCTGGTTTTAAGCTGTTCGACGCTATTTTCTTCTCGAACTACAATATATACATATCCAGATCTCTCAGCTCGGTTGCCGGGGTGTGTTTCTCAGCTTGCGTGCTTTTGTTAACAAATTTGTTCGGGCCCCACCGCCACAAGGCGGGGGTGCTAACGTGCCCTAAACTCCCCCGCTTCATCTGTAGCAGCAGTCAGTCGTCACTGCTGTGCTTCAATGTCAATGCCCTTGTTACAGTACGTATATACAACATTAAGTTCGCCGTAGGTAGGCAGACGACACTCATTTATTTGGTACTGGGTATTATTTATTTGTTCGCAGTTCGCCGTAGGTACAAGAGGCAGACGAAAGAGCAGCTGCTAAATATTGCAGTGAACTTGTAGACTTGACTTCCTCTTGGACATATAATAAAGCCACCCATCCTATCTTAACATGAGCATATCGAAATCAATTGAAAATAATATATGACGCTCAGAGCATCACAATCTCCGCCGTGCCGCCGTGTTGAGAAACTTGTCGGGCCCAACTTCAAGAATGGTCTCGGGTGGGAGGGGGGGGGGGGGGGATATACTACCTCTCCTTTTCCCGCCCGTAAGGACCCCCGGTCCGCTCCACCCCTAAACCCCCCCCTTTAAACCAGGTTTCTAGCCAACCCCCCCCCCAGGAACATCAAATTTTAGCCCCCATCGAACGTCTAGACCGCACAAAGCAGCAAAGTTGCTTTCCAGAGCGGCAGTAGTGCAGCCTCACAAGTCAATGTGAGATGCTCAGATGATTGCGTGTGTACAGCAGAAGACTAAATAACGTGTTGTGTGCCGCTGTGACTCGCCTGGCGTTCTCCCGGGGGTCTGGCCCTCTCGAGCGCGTTTCGCGTCCATGGCCCTCACGCTCGCACCTCCACCGCCCAATCCAATGCACGTGAAGTCTTTGTTGCGCGTGGGTAGCAGTGCTGCACCCCGTGGCTCACCCTCTCCCCTCTCGCTGCTGCTGTAGACAGCAGCGGCAGTGCTACGCAAATTTGCAAATTTGCTGCTCTTTCCAACGAAACGCGCGCCAGAAGAAGCAGAGGACCTCCTTCGCGCCCCTACTACTGTCGCGCTCCAGTGTGTGGTAGCGTTTCGAAGCGATTCCTCTTCCCCTTCGTGGAACAACCGCACCGTCTTCGTGAGCGAGCGAGCAACGCAGCAAACACAATAGCAAAATGAGCAACGGCTAACTCGGCAGTGGCGCGGTGAACCAAATCTGAATCTCCCACCAGACGCCAGCCCCATCTCCGAAATCTCCGTTCAGGGTTGGGCCGCATATCCTACTCACAAAAACGGCGCCGAGTCCTCACTTCTATCCACAGACGTATGCATACGGTAAGGAGCTGGCGTGTTCATGTACTACTGTCGACTCCAAGGTGATCCAACAGCCTCTAAACACTCCGCTACTTTTTCGCGCATACGAAATTTGTGAACAGAGGGCTGTCAAGTGTAGACGCACAGGATCTTTGTAGGATGTACCGCCGACGTTTCGCTACACATGTTGTTGTGCGCCGCCGTCTCAGCCTGCCGGGCTGCCACACATACCCACATCGACGCTAATTGATGAAGAAACAAATGCAACGCAGGGGCCCTACTCCTGCTGCAGCTGCTTTCGCTTTCTGCTCCAGATGAGGTGGACGCGCGAGAAGAATATGCGGCGTCAACAGATGCAACCCTGATCCACCGAGGGGCGTTTACCGAGCAGCTCAACCTCGTTGGCGCAGATGCGAGTGTGGAGCAACTCGCGCTCACGGATGATGATGTGCAGTTCTTGGGCATCACGGTTGATGAAAGTGAGAGCGAAAACACGACGTCGGGGGGAGAGATGGCATCATCTCGGAAATAATTGTGAATTTGCACACAGCTGAGGGCTTTACACAAACTCGAGAGGAGCCCCCCCCGGTAGAGCCGCCGATAACTTTGTACCTTAACCTACAGAGCAGTAATTTGTGCAGTTTCTCAGTGGCACTGCCGTCTACGCTAGAAAGCACGTGTTATCGAAATGTACTCCCCCACGATCTACCGAAAAGAGCGTGTTCACGGGCGATGAAAGAGGCAGTCGTCGATGCTCTTGGGGTGTATCTCGAGTTGCCAAATGTTCCGTAGATGATTGTGTCGAGAACAACGAATAATAACTAGTCGAAAACAAGAAGAACACCGGTCACCAGTTCTGCCACCGGCCAACAAGTTCTAGATCTTCAAAGTACCGTAAAGGGGAAAGGAAACTTCTCGATCAAACTCTGTCTTGTATTGCGTCTCTACAGGTGAGATCGTTAGAGGTAATGGATTCTCCATTAGAACAGTTTAAACGGTGAATCAACGCAATAATGAGAGAGTCTTCAGTGGGTGTGACAAGGTGCTCATCCGCTTGACACTGTCTCATTCGCCGGGCGTGGACAGTCTTGCCACCCGAAAGTCGAAGGAAGATCAGAATTCGATATCAAAGCAATTTCAAGTTCCTACTCGCCGATGAAGGATACCAAGAGACTTGTTGGCAACACAGGCCGGTCTGGTGGTAACATGGGAAAGAAACAATTGCAAAGAAATGAAGGCTCCAAGTGCCGCCGAAAGAAAAATAATAAAACAATGGGGATGAAGGACCAACTATGATGAACAGTTTTACGCGAAAAACTTTCCCTCAGAAACAAGGTAAAGAAATGAAGCAACGGCGTCTAACTTCGTAGCGTTCGTTATATCTTTGGCGCCGCCGGATAGCCTTGATCACCTCGTGAAGGAGTATCGATCTGCCTGTCGGAGTTTCTTCGAACGCATGCATAGCTATGTATGTGGATGGAAAGCCCGTGAGACAACCCCTTGAAACCAACGGTTTGACGTGCCGTCGTCACGGTGTGAAGGGGAGTACAATGACGCGTCCCTAGAGTTTGCGATTGGACGGAAGGTATCCGCACCCTTTGTAATACCAGATCCGGCCGACCGACAAAAACCTTATCCCCACCCACTCCACGCACTTGGTCGGTACAAAGGTAGCGGAGACGTCTATTTTGCCACCAGCAACTCAGCGATACAACGGGCACACTATGACCCGGCCAAGTCACCGTCGTGGGACGTTACAACCGTCGTCGGCGGGCACGTGGAGGTTCGCGTCGAGGGATACAACCTCGGCACCAGCGTCGACGACGTTGCCTCTTTCTCCGTCAAGGGAGTGGAATGCCCGACCAGGAGAAGGGAGTCGAGCAACACCCTGGTCTGTGTGCTCGGAGATCCGGCGGTTACAAGCGTGCTCGGGGAGGTGAGGCACAGCGTGGTTCCGTCACGTTGTAATCTCAGGTCAAGCGTATTCTGTCAGGCACCCACTGCGTGAAAGCCGAAATATATCATGTGTGTAGTATATGGGTTTTGGCCCCTTTACCTATCGGTTCTACCATAAATAGGCTAAACTTTGAGGGCCAAAACACACCGCCAAGAAGCGCAACGGAATTACTGCTCGCGGCGTGACGCGTGGATCCGAGAGTGCGGTGGAATGCTTTAAAGAGAATACTCATGAGCGTGGCTGCGGTGTCGCCGTTGCTTGACCCGAAGGTACTGTAGGTGGCCTGATGGTAGGGACACCCATATATCATTTCCAATGACTATCGTTCGTAGCGGAAACTGGCGGCCCGGTTCTCACTTGTTTTTTTCTCCTCACAGAATGTCGGGACCGAAGACATCGTCGTGCAAACCGCCTCCGGGGGGTGGACGCAGGGTGGCTACCCTGGCGATTTCGTCGACGCAAAACTAGCTGACCACTCGCTCAAGCCCATCATCACACGCGTCGAGACGACCGGCCGTACCATCTCGCCTCGTGCGCTGTGTTTCGACTCCGCGGGAGGAACCCTGTACTATAGCGACCTCGCCACCCGCTCCCTTAACAGGATAAGTCTCCTCGACGACAGCGGTGACGGCGGGTCGACACTAACGGCCAAGGTGGAATTCGACGCCTTCTTGCCAGACGTTGGTCTCGTGCAGGGCATGGCCATCGACGTAAGCGAGGGCCAAAACGGCGGGTTCGTGTACTTCTCGGATGCACAGGGTGGGACCGTCTCAAGGGTAGAGCTCCCTGCCGACGGGACCCGGCCAGAGGCACCCGGGGCACGGCAGGTCCTAGTCTCCGGATTAATCGACCCGATGGGCATTGCTCTCGAGCCAGACGGCGGCGGAAGGCGCTTGTTCTACGCGCTGCGGGGGGGGCGCATTTGCGCGGTCTCGCGAGACGGTTCTATCAGCACTTCTGTCCCACCGACGGCGGTGTTATTGGAAGGCGGCGGCTACGAGGTTCGTCGGTTCGATTCGGGAACGCGTCTTGATGGCATCGCGATCTCGGCTTCTGAGGGCGGGATAAGCGATCCGACCGAGATAAGGCTATACTGGGCGGAGTCGGGTCGCACCCCCGGCATAAAGAGGTCGACCTTAGATGGCACGCGGCCGGAAGACGTGTCTGTCGAAGACGATGGAACGGATGCGAAGGCTCAGCTAGTTTGGCCCCGCGGGCTGGCGTTTGGTGCCGGGGCTTCGACCGGGTTGTTGTTTGGCGAATATCTTGGCAGTGTACGCCTGCTGCCGCTTCCACCAGCGGGTGGGAGCGTTGAGACAATAGCGGAGGCGGACTCTTATCCTGCGGCAGTGGCGATCCACGCATTGGTTGCAGCAGCCGGTAGGGAAGGGGCTGAGGAAAGGTTTTTCACGCACAGCGTTCGTTGAGTTGCGTGCGTACTAAGCATTGGCGATGTGGCTTTGAATTTGTAGCTCGCACGGAAGGTTGTTGTTGTTCAACGGCATATATCACGCTTCTTCCGCTCAAATATAAAACATGTAATGGTTCAACGGTTTAGCCAGCTCACCTTTGCATGGAGGTCGCGAATCCAGCACATCGGCGCCGAATTTGTAGAACACGGCCACCCCGCACCCCTACACAATACTGTAACGGTAACTCCTTGTCGTCGCACCTTTGTCGCCTACGGGCGGTGGTGTGTGTTTAGAAGCCCGGTACAATTTTAGTTTTCAACTTTTTTTGCGCTGTGGGCTTCTACGTAGATATATCGCCTTGTTTGTATGTAAAAAACCTATCTGCCTGTAGATAACGTCCAGCCGCGAGACAGGTCGACGTTCTCTACGTTTGGCCCACAAGCCGAAATATGAAATATGCACTACTTCGCGAGAACGGTTCTTTTCTTCCAGCTGTCTTTGCTCAAGCTTTCTCACGGAAAAATTGTTTTGCTCCGTAATACCACAATCCAGCAAGCAGTCCTAGCGGCTAAACGTAACCTTAAACTCGCAACGTTCTCACATTCGACCTTCGTTGTGCAGTCGCACGGACTGTTTTTTTTCTCTCAGTTCGTGCCCAAACAACGTGGTCACGCATCATATTTGACTGCACGGACGGTCGATGAAAGAAAGGGAGCGGAGGCTGAAAAATGGTCTGTGGGGTGGAGGGGGAAAATCGGAAAAACCATTCCTCCTTTCTGTGTGTGCCCCCTCCGCTCTAGCAGTATTTTAGTATGCAGTAGCAGAGTAGGTGTCGTCCAGAGAAGAAATATATACATACATATGTGGATTTTTTTGTTTTTGTTCTTCACTTCAAATCAGCGCTCACAGCACTAGTGCCGTTTATTCCAACCCGTGGTCACACAGAAGAGCCTCTCTCTACCCTCCCCTCCTGCGGTACTTCGCTTTCAATTTTTAATGCGAGAAGAGTTCAGCACTCTCTTCCCTCTGTGTACACACGAACTAGCGCTATCCACTAGGCCAGAAGCGGAAGCGAGAGATAAACTCACTTTGCAAGAAAAGCTCGCCTACGCCGGGATTCGAACCCCTGACCTGACCCCTAGAAGGTTACGAGGCTACCAACTAGACCACCGGGGCGACCAATACGTGGATGACAGGTGTAGAAGTGCTGTAACCATTGTTGTTGCACATACAAAAGTAGGACCAAGATACGATCCGAACGGAGGATCTTACTGATGGTTGATCAGCAAGAGACCCGACTATGGATGCGTCCCTCTTGGCGCCACCTGTGGAGCTTTGGAATCTGAGACCCTCGGGCTTGGTCTCCCTTGCCCCTTCGGCGGCGCACTCTCTCTTGTCTCTCTCTTCTGAGACCCTCTCCTCTCTAAATCTCGACGAAGAGAACTGCCAGCCCTTAGTAGTGGGAAAAGACTAGTGCGACCTGGGCCTCCCCCCCAACGAGGGAAGCCTGTATCATCATTGGCGTCGACGAATTAAAAGATCTGCTGGTACTGGAGGTAGAGGTGAGAGATGCCGAAAAAATCAGCCGTGCAACGCGCTCGCGATAAGGCGGACGCGGCGGAGGAAAAGAGGCTCAAGGAGCAGCAACGCCGCCTTGAGCTGGAAGCTGAGCTAGAGCAGCTCAAGCAACGCCTCGCCGCCAAACACCCGACAACCCCGCTAGCACGTGGGACACCCTCGGAACGCGTGCCGGCTTCACGCCCCTCTGGTGATAGCAGCCTTCTTGAGGAAAAGTCGGATGACCCTGAGGGTGCCGACCGCGCGAGTGCCACCAGCGGCGGTGAAGATGGGAGTGATTCCGGTGAGCGCGACACGTTTGTCGACGGCGAGAGTGGAGACGAGTATGAGGATGTTCCTCCTGCCGCCGGCCGGGAGCAGCAGGGGCGTTGGGCAGATGAGGAGGAGCCCGAGGATGAGGAGCCCGAGGTTCTTGCATCTCCGGCTGGCGCACCCATTGTGGAGATGCTGAAACAGCACCACCGTGATGGGACCGAACCTCCCGAATGGCTCATGTCCATTGTACTGCCCGCCAACTCGCGAAAGGTGAATACTGTAGGTGGTAGTATGCCTGCTGTCCGACACGAACCCAACGTTGGTAGCGAGGGCAGTGCCCGCCCGAACCTCCGGCGTGACAACAGCATACCATCTAATTTTGCTTCACAGCAGTCACCTATCTCGTCTCGGCAATTAGTAAACGATTTTTCTCCGCAATCCGTAGAGACCCCACGAGAAATCGACAACACCAGCAGGACTAGCGACCCTCTAGTGATGTCGAATGCCTCACCTACACACTCTACTGTGCGCGCTGATGAACACCCGTCAGCGCACACTACGGGTACGTCTGCTCGTTTCGTCTTAAAACCCGCAGACCTACCCAAAGATCTTGTTTTCTCAGGGGCTCGATTCTGTGTGGATTATCGCGGTACCATTAATAAGAGTTTAATCCGAAAGTCGTGGCCTATGCCCGATATTAATGCCCACATTGATACAGTAGATGGAGCAAAGTTTATCACTGTGTGTGACGTGCAGAGCGTGTACCACCAGATACCCGTTGCAGCAGCGGAGCAAGAGAAGACCGCCTTTGTAACTCAAAAAGGAAAACGGGTTTTTAAACGTCTCCCTTTTGGAATTTCGAACGCCCCGTTTTTATTTGCTCGCATGATGTCATTAGCATTTGCACATTTTGGACCCCGAAGTGGCCTCCTTGTTTACATGGACGACATCATTTGCTGTAGTTCGACTTGGGAAAGTCATCTAACATTGTTAGAAAATACATTTCAAGCCCTTCAAGCCGCAGGGCTCACATTGAAACCTTCCAAGGTACAATTCGGGCCAAGGGAAGTAAAATATTTAGGTCACATTTTGTCTGCGAAAGGAATTCGAATCGGAGACGACCGCATTAAAGCTATTGTTGACCTGCCCGCTCCTAAAACGATCAAAGAACTCCGTTCAGTTTTAGGCATAATATTTTGTGAGGAAATTTCTCCCAGATTTGTCCACGGTGGTAGCGCCGTTGGTAGACCTCACTAAAAAAGAGCACGTAAAATCGATTGCAAAACGTTGGCGAAACGAACATGATGAGGCGTTTGCGACAGTCAAACGACTGCTCACGGAAGCACCTATTTTACACTTTCCCGATTTTACAAAAGACTTCGTCGTGCACGTGGATGCCAGCGAAGCAGGTGCTGGAGCTTTCCTTGCGCAGCAAACAGGAGATGACCTCAACATTATTGCGTATTTCAGCCAACGATTCAACAATGCTCAGCGCCACTATTCCCCAACCATGAAAGAATGTTACGCCGTCGTACTAGCAATACAGCACTGGCGGCCCTATTTATGGGGCAGACATTTTGAAGTTGTGACGGACCATGCTGCGTTGAGATACTTGTACACCATGCAGGACACTTCAAATATGCTGACTAGGTGGGCTATCGCTCTGCAGTCGTTTGACTTTACCGTGCGACACAAGCCGGGGAGGTTACACGTTGTTCCGGGCACCTTATCTCGGTTGTTTGCTTTTGAGTACCAGCAACACTTAGAAGCCCCGAAACTAACACCGATTTGTAGGAATGTCCCCAAGGATCCTGCTTTGCATGTAGCTGTACCGAACAGACCTTATCAAGTGGCCGCAGACCGCCTGGAAAATTTGAAACCAGTGCAAAGTGATCGCGAATTGTTTACCATTAATTCGGTTTACATCAGCGCGACCAACGTTTTTGAAACGATGAACCGAGACATCTTTCGAAAGAAACAAGCAGCCGAGTATGGGAAATACATCGACTATCTTGTGGGGGAAAACGCACGAGTCCCGGACAACGAAACAGCAACAACCATGTCCTTTTATTTTGTACGAGACGGATTGCTGTTCAAATCGTATTTACCAGGTTACCTCAGGAAACGGAGTACTTTCACTGATCAATTAGTATTGCCCACAAGCTCTCACGGGCTTAGTTTTGCACGCTTACCATGATCACGTTTTGTCCGGAGGTCACCTAGCATCTAGACCGACTTTTGACAAGATCCGCCAGAAATATTGGTGGCCGAACATGAGTCGTGACGTTCGCACTTGGTGTCAGGAGTGCCAAGCATGCCAACGTCGGAAAACCGCGCACAATCGCACCAAACTGCCAACAACTGGACACGTACCAGTACAACGACCGTTTGAGCGAGTTTCAGTGGACTTAGTTGAATACAAGAGCGAATCGATGTCAGACGCCGGCGTACGATGCAAATATGTCCTATCCATGATGGACCATCTAACCCGATTCACCGTGTTGACTCCGAAACCGAATAAATCAGCTGTCACAGTTGCTCAGGCTATCATTGACCGCATCATAGGCATTTTTGGACCGCCTGAGGTGTTGCATTCTGATCAAGGGCCTGAATTTGAGAATAGTGTGATCCACCAGTTACAGAGTATTCTGAACTACAAGAAAACCCGCACAACACCATATCGTTCGCAAGGGAATTCTGTGTCGGAACGACTACATTCAACGATGCACGCAATGCTTGCCATGCATAGTTCAATGAAGCGTGATAACCGGGTATCGCTACTACCTTTCATACAACTGGCGCATAACACTTCTTTTAGTGCTACCATGCATGAAACTCCATTTTTCCTCATGTTCGGCAGACAACCGCGACTACCTGTCGATGTCATTCTCGGTATTCCTCATGTAGGAACAACAGCCAATACCGAAGAACTTGCGAAAGACACGCGGGAAAAATTACAAATTGCTTTCTTTCGAATTAGCGCGCCGAAACTTAACGGAACGTACAAAAAAGCAAGCGGCGAGTAATTCAAAACTGAGACCGATTCCCGTGTTTAAACCTGGCGATCAAGTACTGGTATACAGACCATATCAGGATTCCGATGGCCCCAACCCGAAATTGCTGTTACCTTGGCGGGGACCATACGTCGTCTGCTCGCAACTATCACCCGTAGTATACCGAGTGAGACGCCCAAAAGAAACTCGAGAAGTTGCGGTTCACCTAGCCCATATTAAACGATATTTTGCGAGGAAAACACCGCCTGCGCCCGACTTTGATAAACAAACTCGCTGAGTTCTTTTTAGGGCGACAGATTCCGTTACCCGCTATCGATCACCCTGATGAGGCCCAACCAAGAATTGAGTCTTATGTTGTAGACAAAGTGGTAAGACACAAAAAAAATGGTCGGGGTCCGAGGACTCCTTTTAATTACCGATACCGTTTGCGTCTTCGAGGGTATGGCCCGGAGTCAGACCTCGAATACCGCGCAGATGAGGTACCACAATGTCAAGAAATGATAGCTGCATACCGAATCCGTTGTGGTTTGGATATCGCGCTTTCTAAAACAACTTCGGTTCGCACCCTCAACAAGCAGGGGGACGAAGCATCACCCTGCCGAACTAGGAAGCGAAGACGTACCGAAGCAAGGAATTGAGAGACAACGCCAGATATTGAGCACTCAAAATTTTATCTGCTGTTGTTCTGCGGCTCAAATTTGTTTCATTTTGATGTTAAGTTTTATTTTTAACGACATGGGGACGGGTTAAAACTATCATTTTCCATGTCCTTGTGACATGGAGATAGTAATGACACGTTAACACTATCTTTTTCCATGTCCTTGTGACATGGAGATAGTAATGACACGTTAACACTATCTTTTTCCATATCCTTGTGACAGGAGATAGTAATGAAACGTTAACACTATCTTTTTCCATACCCACCCTCGGGACATGGAGCGGAGATAGTGACGACGGTGAAAGGGGTTTTTGTACATTTTTTGGTACACCCTATTTTTTTTTTTTTTTCAGTGTTCTTGGGAAAACACTGGCGAGGAGAGAGTCTTATGACTTATTGTTGCTGTCAGCTTTGTTCAAGAAACCAACGGAAACCACGCGACGTGTGGATACGTTTTACGGTTTCAACAAGCGAACGACAGATCGATTTCACCGGCCCCCATTTACGTTGTGTCTACTCCTTGGTTCTCGGCTATATCTTGAGTGAGTTTTCGACGAAGATCCATTCAATCAAGTAAAAAAGACGGAATCAAGATATTAACAAGGGTTGGCCACGCGACCAATTTTCCGTGATTGTTTGTCATTTTGCGACATTTTGTTTTTTTTGCACTATCATCCAGCAAGCGCCTGATCCACGCGTGCGATGACGAACAGTGCATGAGTAAAATGAGTTACCAGTTTCCGTGACACATCGGTAAACTGTTTTGTAGCCAAAAAGTTTTTTTTCCCAGGCATGGTATATTAAGCTATCAGTTTCAAACTGTTTTGTAGCTGAAACCATGTTGTTTGCTATTCAAACTGCGTGAACACAATCTGGGTATGGCCACCCTATAGAATATATCTGACCGGAAGAAATTCTCTTCTGTCAGAACCATGCAGGAGATAAAGCATCTTTTATTTTTAGTTTGATTTCTGTACTACTTTTGCTATGGACCACATCTTCAACTGAGCTTGACGAACTCACTCGTGTTTTCTCAACACGGAAAATCTGACTCAGACACGGTTGAAGATGTTGCAACACAGTATAACAAAACTTCCAACACCTGTTTCCATGTATGTATGTATGTATATCGTCCAAGGCCTCTAGAAACGCCAAAATACATCCATAGCAAAGATGAATTTGTGGCGCATAAAGGGGGGGGTGATGTGGATGACAGGTAGGTGTAGAAGTGCTGTAGCCATTGTTGTTGCACATACAAAAGTAGGACCAAGATACGATCCGAACGGAGGATCTTACTGATGCTTGATCAGCAAGAGACCCGACTGTGGATGCGTCCCTCTTGGCGCCACCTGTGGAGCTTGGGAATCCGAGACCCTCGGGTTTGGTCTCCCTTGCCCCTTCGGCGGCGCACTCTCTCTTGTCTCTCTCTTCTGAGACCCTCTCCTCTCTAAATCTCGACGAAGAGAACCGCCAGCCCTTAGTAGTGGGAAAAGACTACTGCGACCTGGGCCTCCCCCCCAACGAAGGAAGCCTGTGTCATCACATACCTAAAGGTGCACAATTATTGGCGCGTCCAGATGATGGAATGACACACACACACACGCACATCGTCCACACAAATATACCCCGGGGAACTTGATTTTAACCCCCGCTGGCACTTGCACCAGACAGTAAATACGTGTACAACAGCAGTATGTCAGCCCGACAGCGAGGTCGCCGATGCTAAAGAAAGACACCAAACGCACTACATTAATTCTGGGAATTGAGATTGACTGCTTCATACAGTAGTATCCTCATCCCGCTGACGCTGACATATCGTCATTCAGTGTGTTTAGCGGGTTAGCGCGGTCGATGCTTGCTTATCAAACACATCTTATTCGCACGCCGAACGATGCGCAAAATAAAAAAGGACGTACCTACTAGTCTACGCTGCATGCTTAAAACCTTTGACTGAGCAACCTTGGTTCAGGAAGATTAATTTATGAATAATTTTGATTAGTTCGAGATGGTCTTTTCAATCAATCAATCAATGTCGCTCAGTCTACATACAGCAGCATTTCCAAAGCAGACTCGTGAAGTTAGTAGGACAGACAGAGAGAGGCAGGGGGGCAGGGCCGGACAGGGGGAGGTGACGGCGGCGCTGTTAGGGCGTTGGGGCAGCTATTGTATAACGTAGAGCAGTACACAGCAGTATCAATATACCACGCGCATTATACTCCTCCTGCTGTTTTCGGAAAATCAGTCCAGGGGGCGTGGTATCTTCTGCAACATTTCGTACGCCTTTTGAGTCGAACTCCACGAAACCGTCAGAAAATCGACCTACTATTGCGATATCGAGACGGGTTATACGCGAGTTGAGTGTGAGGATCGCGGCAGTGTATGAGATCTGGACGGACCAGTGCCCACCCTTTCGTCTACTCTCGGATGCTTTGTCTTTTTGTTTCTATCTCTGTCTGTCTCCTCTCTGCCTCGTTGAAAATGATGTGATGGGCTGAGCTGTCGTATCGAGGACCTCATATCCTACAGACGCAACACCTGATATTTTCCAAGTATTTTCGAAGGTTCTCGTACAGTCCACTACATAGCTACAACGTCCAACAGCTGACGTCCACCAGTGAAATACCGTTACTATGTACATAATAGGCAATATGTCTGACAACATGCACGCACAACCAAGCTGAATAGTGGCGAGTTTGCTATGAAACGTCCGCATTCATGTGTAGGGGTATCTCATACAGCAACTACATGTAGAGCAAGACCCCCCCTGCTGTACAGCGTACACCGTTCTGCTCACGTCATGTGTGGCATGAGGACGGTCCCCGCTTCTTCGTTTTCTGCCTAGCAGCAATTATTCCTTAATCCTTGTGCTGCCTTCCACGGCGGTGGTGGCGATGGAAGAAGTATCGACCAGTGCAGTCTGCGAGTACACCTCCGAGTGCGAAGGGGTTGGATTCGAGTGCATCGACAGAAGGTGAAAACATGTTTCTGCGCTCGTTTTCCGGCGCCTCCATGTCACTCTCGCAAGCAAGCATGTGCGGGCTATTATGACGTCAACTGATCAACATGTTGGAAGTGTCAGATGTGCAAGTCGCGGGTGAAAACTTGTGAGAACGTGCCATCGCCGCCTGTCCTGATATTGCTTTGCGTCTGACGGCCGTCGCATGGTGTTGGTACCTTCTGCGGGTTGGCGGGAGACAGATGCATGTGTAACCCTCTATGGGCTCACACAGGGCTGAACTGTGACCAATTGAGGTGGGCGTCGTGGGCGTTGGTGGTTGTACTCACGCTTGTGAGCATCTTCTCTGTCACCGTGCTGGCTGCCGCGGCAAAGAGCCTCACGAGAGCTTCATCGTTGAAGTGTGGTTCGGGATTGTTGCAACTCGGCCGGATGCTGTTTCAACGGCAAGAGGCATCAGGTGCGTGCACAAAGTAATCACATGTGCGTAAAGTCACGAGATGAGAGACTTTCAATAAAGTTTCGCCACGCGAAGCACCTCTATCCTTTGGAAATGGTCTCTATGCTCAGGGCGCTACTGCTGTACCGAAATTGACCCGGACAAGAGCATGCATGAAACTGCAAACGGCTGCAGCGACGCTGCCCTCTTAGTCTGCAATCTTAGTGTGCACACACGAGGAAAGCGACCGAACGGAACGATTGTTTGGCTGTGTGTGCATGTCTGTCCGTCCTGCCTGCCGTGCAAGCAGATTCGGGCTCCACAACGATACGCGTTGTTCTATTCTCGGTGCTGCTTGACATCAGCTGCTACGCGTGGAAGATATTAACAGCTGCCGGTATGATCTCAGATTATGTTTCCGCCTCGTGGAATGCAAGACTATTTTTCCCGCTGACGGAAGGATTCCTGATTCTGCCCACCGCGATTGTGATTTCGGTGTGGATGGACGTGGCAAACTCGTCCTTGTCACGGTTGAAGGTAAGATACCAAACAAGCCTCCGTGATGTCGTTGATCTGTGTGTTGTAGCGATCCAGCCACAACATACCCTCGTTGCGATCGCGGACAGGCCCCGCTAGTTGTGGCGTTTTTTGTTGGTGTTGGTTGCCGGCGCAAAGAAACAACTTGCGGCTTCTACAATCAAGAATCTGGTGCGGCACACGCTACAAAAGATCGCTTTTCTTTCGTCAAAAAGCCATGGTGTACTGCCGGCCGGCATCAGACCTAAGCGAACAAGAGAGCACACAGCCCGCGACTGGGCGCTCCAATTCTGATATTTGTAGGACTTGTAGGGTATCCTATCCACTGGAAAGCGCCCGTCCTTATGCACCGTCAGAGCACACTAGAGTTTGCCAACCCTGTGATGTACAACGACATGCCCTCGTGCTCGCCCCCCATCCCCCCACCCCCTTGCGCTACTGTTTGATTCATTTCGTCGTTCTCGATCTTGGTCACGCCCTGGTCTTATCTCGTCAATCCCGTAGTCAAAGAGGAAACTGGCAAGGACAAAGAAGGCGCTCCAGCTAGGGACGGCCACCTACGTCGCCCTCCTCCTGTTGCTATGCATCTTTGGCCATTTGGAGCAGGCGATGACGGTGCAGCTTTGTGCGGTCGGGCTGGGCCTGACCGCTTGCGGATCTGGAGCGGCGAAGGTAAGCGTAGGGGTCAAGGTCGATGACAAGCAGAATGTTTTTGTGTGTTGGTCGGCAAAGAGGCACGTTCAAACGCGCAGAAATTGTGGTTCAGTCTTCATGCTTAGCGTCAAGTCCTTGAAGGTCGAAAAACTCGACCCCACATACATGCCTTATTTTCCGGGCCACAGGCAATGCTGTAACCCCGCCGCCACCCCCCCACCACCCTCTCGTTTCTCTCTCTCTCTCTCGTAGCTATGCCACACCCTTCGGGGCTTGGGGGAAAACAGCGCCAACATCGCGGATACCGTCTTCAAGGTGTCTCGAGCCATGGGCATTTCTCTCTGTGAGTTGCATCTGTCTGCTCCCTCCATTTCGTTTGGTATTGTCAGAACATCGACAACGCGATACAGCAGTAGCCGGGCCTGCAACCTTGACATCGTGGGCACGATCACCCTACGTGAGCAAGGTGCTTCTAATCGTAAAAGAGAAGATCGCGTCTGTACAACAAGGGGCATCCTTTGTACGGACGGAATCATGTAGGACAACACTCGCCATGCACCATCTACATCGACTGTTTTTTCACCTGTAGCCTGGAACCACACAAAAGCCATTCATACAAAAACAATCGTTAGAAGTATCGAATAGCGTTACCACTGAATCGACCACACGTGTCTTTGATCGATTTGTGACATGATCTTCCCAATATATCCCCTCCGCGTTCGGTTCCCGTGAGCAGATGGCGTTTTTATCGGCAACACGATGCTCCTCTCAAGTCGTACAAGGTAACCAATAGGCAAAGGTTCGATGATAGTTTTCAACTACAGTCTCGCGTGATGATGTGAATAGAGCTCGCAGCTTCGTTCCCTCACACAATGCGTTCTTCGTCAAGCTATTCAGTTTCCTCCATCCTGGACTGCCCACAGGGTGCCAATTTCGTCGTTGTTGGTCTCTTTGCGAATAGGGCTATTGACTTGCTAGTGTCGGTGAAACCGGTTGCATCCAGTACAAAAGTGTAGCAAATGCGTTGGTTGTAGCGGTGTCCTCTTTGACCGTTCTCCCTCACGCGTGGTTGGTCAGTTCGGTACCTCACTCGAAGCGAGGAGGTATCACCATCCTACGTACAAGTAGAGCATAGGATGTGGCTGTCAAAGCGAAATAAGAAGCAGATAAGACGAACAAGCAACACCGAAATGTGGATGCCTATGGCATCAACCTATACTCTAGAGTGCCCAAGCAGTGAGGGTATATCTTAGGAAAATGTCTCTGTAGGGTGATAGAAACGGTTGTCCTGTCGAAAACGACGCATATGTCCCTCCTCGCGACCCGAGAGCACGAGAAACGGCCGCGTTGTGTTCGCCTGTCGAGGACATTTCTCGTTTCTCAACAGCGTCCAATACTCAATGGCCTAAGCCCCGAAGTAAACATTCTTGGAGACGAAAGTTCTTGGAGGAGGGCTACTAGCCGTACAGGTCCTTGAGCATTGTGCTTTCCTTTGGAAGGCGAGTGTTTTGTGCATTTCCTTTCGATCTCGCCGCGTTTCGCTCGATATATATATGGCGAACAAGCGCGATTCCTTCAACCTATCCCGCCTCGTGACCCTCCGACACGCTGTGGGTTTCACTTTCCTCAGGAAGAGCGACCCCACGAATCTGGCTCTCCTCGGAGTGACAGGTGGGTGGACCGGAAGCAAACCGAACACAGCAGGGTCGTCCCTTTTTTCATACCTAAACAGACAGCAGCCATGTGGGGAAGGAGTGAAACCCGGTAGTGGCGCCCAACCTTGTCTAAAGCACCTAGGGTGACCGCTCCACATCACATGACTAGTGAAGAGTGTGCTATCCCGCTTGCGTGTGCATATATACTTGGCAGAGCCTTGCTATATCTGAGGAGTCTTGCTACCGTAGGGCCCACATCTATGGCGCGCCCGCTTCTTGAGGCGCGGCAAGTCGTCGCCAGTCGCAGGTAAAATTCCCCCTCACCGCTGCAGCTTGCACCCCCTGTTCGTGTTCCGGCGCGTACGCTCCACTCTGCCTGCTTTTCTACCCCCTCGCTCCCCCGTGAACTATTTAGTATCGTCTCTCTCCAAGTGCTTCCTCAACAAGGCGATCTTCGAGTACATGGTGGAATCTGCTCGGGCCAAGAAATATAGGGTCGACGTTAGGTCACGCTTACATACTCCTGGTCTTCCCGCGCTGAGGCCAGCTGTGCACCTCCTTTCGTCGCTGCGCTCAGTCCGGGAGGCCAACACCAACAAGATTTTCGTCAATGACCACGATGAGCAAAAACCGACCACCGACTCGGGCACCGCCATCTCCATGATCCCCCCGACCCCCGCCTCCAAGATGTCGCCGAGGTAGGCAAGCAATAGGTGAAGGGAGCAAAGGGAGGATCACTGTACAGCCGCTCAAGAGAGACGCCCTCCTTGAGACGACGACTCCCAGCCCCTCGGGCGGTGGGCAATCGCGGTGGGGCCGACAGGAGCGGTTGGAAAGCGTCCGAATTCGACTGATCAAGATTGTCTCCTCGCACGACGGAGCCGGATCCCTCACCGTCGTCAGATGACAGGGCCAGGTCTAGAGCAGAAGATCACTTTCGAACATGGGAGACCAGGATCCATCCTGAGTGGTCCTGTCCCCTCTCGGGGCCAACAAGGAGAGAGTGCGCGGTTGTGCCCTTCGTGGGCAGCAACACGGAAATTGATGAGAAAAATGTGAACTCTTGTCCACAGCGAGCGGTGCATTCTTAACAGGAACAAAACAAGTGAAGCCGAACAAGTGTTTCCTGAGCTTGTTGGTGAGGGGGAACCATCGCTTCCTTGACATGTTCGTATTCGGGTGTTTGAGGATCAACAAGCCTCGTAAAATTGTAGTGTACGTATATGGTGCCTCAAACAGAGCTGAGCAAGCTCTCGTCTCTGGTGTATTGTCGAAACGAAGGCAGATCACATCTACGCCAGGTGGTTTCAAGAGTGCGAACGATTCTCGAATAATAGCCCACAAGCACGACCATGTTCTTAACGCGCGAGATCGCAGAGGACGCTTGGTTCTGAAGTATGTTTCTTTCCTCTCTGTTTCTGGTAGCCCATCAGTAAGTCATTCTTCTTCTCACCACCTGCCTTCAGTTTAGCTACCGTCCCTTTGCATGTTCTGGTAGGACATGAACAGAGTCCATCATTGAGAGCAATCGCGCACAGAGGTAGATACGTTGATCTAGATAGATGCCGCGTTTGGGTTCGTCTGGGGAGTTGTTACATGGTTTGACAATCCGCTGTTAGTTGGGGCACGGTACGCAGGCATGTTCCCAAGCTCTAGCTTGGGTCTCAGTCGATCAATTCCCAAGCTCTAGCTTGGGTCTCAGTCGATCAAAAGTCTTTTTTTTCCGTCTGTGGAGTTTTCAGTAGCATAGCGGACCCCTTGCCCGACCGGGTCGAAAAGGCCGATCTCAGCCCACACTGCGAACCTCCGAGAACTACCAGCAGTTCTGGGTAGCTGAGACGATTTCAAGACCTCTCACAGTCGTTTGAGCATCTATCGCTTGCTGTGGGGCGATAACCAGTTTCTCCGTCGACAAGAAGATCTGCGTTACATCGTCACATCGGAACGACCAGATTGGTTGACTTGTCGTTGAGGGTCCTCTTTTTATAGAATCTTTTTGTATAAGAGTCGTCTTCATTTTTTTCGCCGCCCGCGCCAACCCTTCTTTTTACAGATCTTTTTATATAGAGTCGTCTTCTTTTTTTCGCCGCCCGCCCTCAAGCCTTGCTTGCTTCTCTCGTGTCCCGCGCCAAGCCTTGCTTGCTGGCTACGCTTCTCTCGAGATGCTGACCGACCTCAGCACACAGCTGGACATTCTGTGTACATACAGCAGGAGCTGCTTTTGTTCTGTTGTTGCAACTTTCTGCATGGATGGCTCTTTTGTGGTGCGAAAATTAGCATTTATTGTTGTTGTTGATGTGCGGACGAGAGGACGAGAGTGGTAGGCAAAAGCAGTACGTACCTGCAAATCTCCGGCAACTACCAGCAGTTCTGGGTAGCTGAGACGATTTCAAGACCTCTCACAGTCGTTTGAGCAGCTATCGCTCGCTGTGGGGCGATAACCAGTGATTTTGTGATTTTCTTCCTTAGTCTATAGTGACCGTTGTACACATGCGGTGGCTGCTGTTATGCTACGGAAGATGCTGCAAAGGTCATAAGGTTATCGTCTCTGTCGCTTGGGCTGCACGCCGTGCTCGCGTAGGAGATGCGCATTCCTCATTTTTTCTCTGTGCCGATATCCATGAAGAAAAGCAACGGCAGCACGGTTGAAGATACAGACAACAGACGGTCCGCCATACCCTTTTTTTTTTCTTCTCTTACATGCATGGATGGGTGGTAAAGCATCGCAAGCGTGTTGCTGCCTTACTTACCTTTAGTGTGCTGCGTAGTCGTAATTTGAGCGATAAGGGGTAGATGGCAGGACAACAATCTTATTTGCGTAGTGAGGTTTGACAACTGGTCGTTCGTGGAACGGTGCGCGTCTATCGCGACGGCAAGCGTATTGAGAAAATAGTTCGTCCGTGGTGCTTCTCGTCATCATTTTCTATTTCGTTGTCACTTCATACTTCATACCACAAGTGATGAAAGAGAGTCTCCACAGTTAGTTCGGAAACGGCGACTATATTTGGTTTGTTGCGTTTGTTGTTGCTGAGCACACATCGGATGTCGTCGTTCGTTACAGCCTGCGGTGGGCCACAGGGACGAGAGTGAGTGTCTTCGGTTAGGGTCTCGAGAGTTAATTAATGCCTTCTCTACGCTTTCTTCTGTTGATCTACGTAGTAGTAGCACCTGTCTCTCCTTCTCGCCTATTATCGCCGTTGGGGTCCCAACAACATCGAACGTCAACCGCAATCGTTTTTCTTCTTGCTGAGTAAGAGGCTATTTGTGTAGTACGTACCCGGCTGCTGTATGTGAGGCGATGGGCGCTGCCTCTTTACTTGAAGCAACGGGGGCATGGCCCCTATAATGTTTGCTGCATGCTGTGCTATGTGACAGCTTCCAGCGGTTCAGAGCGGCGACGGTGGTTTTCGTATGCTCTCTTTTGCCACCTCCCTGAAGCCTGTCGCGTCTGGCTCACTTGTCTTTGTCGTCCCTTCTTCTTTTTCTTTTTTTTCTTAACATAGTCTATATTTTATTTTTCCGCTTGCTTTTTGGGGTCCGCCGGTCATCCGCCCACCACCCATTAGTTCAGTTTTAAATGTTGTTGTTGTTGTTGTTGTTGTTGTCTTCGCATTAAAAACCGTTCAGATCTCTCTCTACCCAGTACCTTCATATGTGCGTACTGATCCAACACTTGACGCGGTCGATTCCCGTGGTCACAGGCTAACTTACCCTAAAGAGGTACGCTAAAACAAACTGGCCCCGAAAGGTCCGCAAGTCAATAAAAATCAACGACAGATATTCTTTGGAACGGGGTGTTTACTTGCCATCTCTATGCAAGTTTCACAATTAATTTTGAAGCTTTTCTGAAGCTAGTTGAAACAGTAGTGTCATCGTTCGATATCCGTTCGGTGAGGAATCAATCGCAAATCATGACCCGTCCCCGAGTTGTAGCAGCTTCCGCCTCCTGGGGCCGGCAAGAGTCGGCCTTCACTGCTGTACCTTGTCTGTTTCGCCATGGGAATGGCCGGTTCAAAGCGAAAGAGGGTCCTGCGTGCTGCGCGCCACCACCTTTTTTTTTTTGCGTTTGTTTGTTGTTGTGATTTTCTTCCTGAGTGACCGTTGTTGTACACAACATGCGGCTGCTGCTGTACACATACTTGCGGTTGCTGCAGTATATGCTCGGAATGTGCTGAAAAGAAAGGTCGTAAGGTTATCGTCTCTGTTTTTTTGGGCTGCACGCGTTGCTCGCGTAGGCGATGCGCGTCTCCTACTTTTTTCCAGTGTCGTTGTCGGCAGCACAGTCAGTTGAAGAGACAAACAACAACAGACGGTCCGCCTTGTTTTGTTTTGCTGCATGCATGGTTGGTATGCATCGGCACGCGTGTTGCTTCCTTGCCTTGAGTCTGCTGCGTAGTCGTAATTTGAGCGATAGGTAAGCTAGATGGCAGCACAATCTTAGATACTACGTAGTGAGGTATGATAACCAACAGCTCGTTCGTGCAGCGGTGCGCATCTATGGCGGACGGCAAGCGTATTGCGATAATAGTTCGTCCGTGGTGCTATGTAGTCGTGCTCTTTTTAGTTCTCACTTCCTACAACAAGATAGTAGTCCACAGCTCGCACACGGCGACTGACTATATTTGTTTGTTGTTGTGCTTGTTTGCTGTTGCTGAGCCGACATCGGATATCGCCGTTCGATACACAACGTGACATCATGTCTGACAGCCTGCGGCGGGCCAGAGGGACGAGAGTGAGTGTCTTCTCGACAGAGTCAATGCCTTCTCTTCTCGAGAGAGTCAATGCCTTCTCTTCTCGAGAGAGTCAATGCCTTGTCTTCTCTCCGCTCTCGTATTTTTGTCTACCTCTCTTTCTCTCTCTCTCGCCTTTCGCCGGTAGGGTCCCAACAACATCGAACGTCAACCAACCGCAGTCGTTTCGCTTTTTGCTGAGTAAGAGGCTACCCGTGCATCCGGCTGCTGCATGTGAAGCGATGGGCGTTATGCCAAGCAATGGACTTGGGCCCTACCTAATATTTGCTCCATATGTAGTGCTATGTGAGAGTTTCCAGCGGTCCGGAGCGAGCGGCGACGGTGCTTTTCTTCTATGCGCTCTTTTGCCTCCTCCCTGAAGCCTGTCGCGTCTGACTCGTTTGTTCTCGCTTCTTTCTTTCTTTTGTTTTTCATGCTTTTGTTTTTTGGGGTCCCCCGGTTCCTGTGTGCTCATCGGGCATCTTCTTGGTGTCTACCTTGATTGTTACCCGCTGCAAAAATCGAAAGCTTCAGACAGGCAACGCGACGATACTCGTCGAGATGCCATACACAATGAATTCATTGCTAATCTGTCTCAGACTCTTTTCTATGATGGAGATGGATTCGTTGTGTCATATTAAGAAGAATAAACATAAAAAAACATCCTGTCGTTACTCTATCGATACCTCACACCCACCCCTACTCACGCCGACGCAGACACAGACAGGCAGACTCAGCTCTTTCGCCTGTGCTGTATCTGTTGTTCGTGCGTGCTGAAAAATGGTACATACAGCAGCAGCTTACCGCAGCAGGAGCTGCTTTTTGCTTGTTTGTACAGCTTTTCCTGCAGGGATGGCTCTTGTTGTGCGGCAAGTTGCATTGTTTGTTGTTGATGCGGACGAGAGGACGAGAGTGAGTGGTAGGCAAAAGCAGTACGTACCGTGTTAAAGGGACAGACAGAGTGCCTACCGTGTGTATGTAGACGTTGCATTTCGTGATTCCCGAGGATCGGATGTATGTGTTGTTTTTTTATTGCGTACCCGCGTCCATCACGACCATTATTGCGTAGTGTGTCGGCCAATTAAGGTCCTTCCCGTTCGTGGTGTCAGCACACGCGCAACACGCGACTAAAATAAAAATATAAAGCTTGGGACTAGCAACGCCGACGATATTCGTCGGCTTGCTTTCAACAATAGTTGTGAACAATGATTCATAGCACAATTTGTCAGTTTGTAGATAAATTCGGAACATCAACGCGTAAAAAAGGAACGGCGGGTGGTTACGGTCA